CAGATACAAAAGAGTAGCCGTTGGAAGAGATAACTTGCACAAGTGTATTTGTTAATCTATAGTACTAAGAGACGTTGAAGATAGATACACAAAAAGATCTTTATCCATTGTGTAATACATTTAAGTGTAACATCTTTCTTCTGAGTGTTACTATAGATCCGTTGTGAATGGATATCCTTAAATCATGTCAACTTTCCTTGAGCCATGTGAACACAAACTCTAGCTAACAAATTGATTTGGCATTTACTTTATGCGGTGCATATCACTTAGCTTTGTCTATGGTTCTGAATGATCATCAGAAGATGATACGTTCAATAAGTGTAGAAATAACATATTTCTCTTTTGATGCTGGTACATTTAGCTTTAGAGTCTACACAATCATATATCATCAGACTTCACTTAAATGCGTTCTCTTAACAAATTTTGAATAGATTCTCTTTAAGCTTTGAAACCTGCATACTTAGAACACGCATTAGATAACACCATTATTCTTTCAATACTTTGTTATCCCCATAGTTGAAAGGTGATCCTCATATCCCCATAGTATATTCTGAAATGAGTTGATTCTTTTACACCTTAGAGAGTTAGTGGCATACTTGTTGATTTTATCCAAGTTGGAGCCATTCTCATGGTGATGCAAAGGTTCATTTTCACATACTCGTGGTGATTAGTTGAAGTTTTCCCTTAAAATGAGAAGTTGTATTTTCATTTAAGATGAATCATAACAAACAGTTTTGTTATTTGTACCATGAACTACGAGGTTTTGATTTTTCATTGCACTTTGTGCGTACATAGGGGCGAGGCTCAGGAAGTCTTGTCAAACACAAAATTATTAAAAAATACTTCTCTTCCTCCCTCACCAAGCTTTTGTAAACAAGACCCTTTTAAGTCAAACACTATATTTTCAAGAGGTTCCTATAGAGTACTATAGACGTTTTTGGTGATAACACTTTCCCATTGCGTAACCAACCCCCTTACTATTGTCTATATTTTTATTAGTTTTTGTTTTAAAAGTTCTCTTGGTTTTGTTCACTCTTTTCTCTTTTCTTTGAAAAAATAAAAGTGTGGTTTTGACTCTTGTTTTGTGACTCAAGTTAATCAATAGCTTAATCTTAAATTTTCCCGCTACAGTTTGCAATGGTAATTTTCGTAAAATTCTACCTCTTACCTCATCAAGGTTTTTATTAAGCCCGACGAACCAAGAATATACAAAGAGTTCTCATCATCTCTAACCTTTGTTCTATGCATACACACACAAAAAGTACACATAATCCTTCATTATTTGGGTGCCATCTAGAATCAAGTTGATAACATGCAATTCAACAACCAACAATCATGATCAAATTCAATAATAGCATTATTATCAGAGGTTAGCTTTGACACACTTAGCAAGTTTTTGATGATTTGTGGTACATATAAAACATTCTAAAAGTTGGCATTGTTAATTTTGGAGGAACCTGAGGCAACTATTTTGAGTTTTCCCCCATTCCCAACCATAAACGAATTCTTACCAGTGTGTTAAGTGAGATCTTAAAATCTATCAGCATGGAGTGTAACATGATTGTTGGTTCCACTATCAAAATACCACTCATAATCTTGCCTATTGTACAATTATAAAAAATGTATTGTGTGTACCTTGCTTCTTATTTTCAGAGTTTGAGTATTTTTTCCTGTGTAGGACTTATCAAAGCGATAAAAGCAATTTACATCAGTGTGACCAGTTTTGGTGCATACATGACAAACTGATTTTGAATTAGAAACTATACCTTTGCCTCTGCCACCTCTCATACATCTAAAGTTTGATCCTCTCCAATTTGCTCGTGAGTTGAACCTGATTCCTCTAAATTCAGTCTTGTTTGCAAAATTTGCAGTGACATTCAAGTTGAGAATATTGAAATTGTTGAGTTGATCTAGTCTACTTTGAAAACCCAATAACTGAGCCTTCAATTCAACCCAAGTTAGATCAATTTAATACGATAACTTGATCACAACAGGATTGTAATCCATGTTTGATCCATTCAGAGTTTGGATTCTAATATCATAATTTGAAATTGCAGATCCTGCTAGCTTTATCTTATAGTAAGCCCTTTCATCTTAATCAAGTATTCATCCATCTTCATCTCTCCTTTTCTAGAACTATGAAATTATTACTAGAGATAAATAATTGGAGATATTGTATGAGCCCTAACAAGACCTTGAGCGTCATCCCAAAGTTCCTTGGATGTCTCACAGTGAATGGGTTGTGTTACAATTCCTACCGTCATGAGCAGACCAATCCTCAAATTATGGATTAATCTTCTTTCTACTTGTATCATTTGATGTGATATATTGGTCAGGACGTTTTTTCGTCCCTAACAAATAACCATCAAGTTTGCTTCTTTTTTATCAAAGATAAGACCAACGATTTCACAAGGAAAAAGTTTCTTTGTCTAGCTTAACAGAAATGGTTGAGGGTAGATCATTCTTTTAGGTTGTTTATGCAACGGATGACATGAATAAGGGGATTGAGAGTTTTCAAACGTAAAGCTCTGATATCAATAAAGAATATTCAAGGAATGATAATGTTATTAATTCATGTACCAGGTATATATAAGCAAATGCATTCCATACATTATGCCTAGCCATAACTTAGTAATACTATAAAAGGAAATAGAATAAGAGGCTATTAACTAGGTACAATAATACTCCCTCCGTTTTTTATTATAAGTCGTTTTTGACTTTTCACACATATTAAAAAATATAATATTTATGGTATGAAAAAGAGAAATTATGAATAGTTTTACAAAATTGTCCTTCATTAATCATATTGGAAATACATATTTACATAATTAAAAGGAAAGAGAATAATAAATATTTAAGGATATAATAGGAAAAATAACATTAATGGTTCATTGGTATTATAAAACGACTTATATTATGGTACAAAATATTTTCCCAAAGCGACTTATAATAAAAAACGGAGGTAGTATATAATAATATACATAAATGCTCATTGATAGATGCTTGATAATAAGAATCAAGGTTAAACATGATTCTCTCTCTAACTTGGTCCATGTGCATTTGCTCGTCAACATATTTTATTTGGTATGGGAGGTTGCCAACGACAAAGACTCTAAAGGTTAATCTGCTTTAAACAACCCTCTCGGGTTTTTAAAGTTTTTACTAAATCTCTTAAGAACCTCAAGTTTAGATACGTTGTAATTCAACCCTTTGATTCAATCTAAAGAGTATGTGTACCATTTCTTCTAAAGATAATCCTCACAACCATGTATGTTCCTTCTATCCACGTTTTCTTCGTTGTCGAGTTCGAAACTTTTCTAAAAAGCCCAAAAGGATATGTTATTGGATGACACAATCTTGGATTATGTTGAGAAGGGGACGGTGGGTTTTCTGATTTCGAGAATTTTTCTATCGGTATGATAAGACCACTCTCATTAATAAGTATTGGATGAGGTAATTGAGAATTTTTAAGAAATTTAGAATTTTAAGTAATTCAAATAATTCAATTTAAATTCTTTCAATTTTAAATTCTTTTGTTTGGATGGGGTATTAAAATGATTCATTGTTAAATTTTTGAGGTCATTTTCATAAAATTTAAAACTTTTGGGTCAAAATTAATATATAAAAAATAGGGACCAGTTTGCAATTTTTAATAGACCAATTTGTAAATTTTGAAAATGATTAAAGACTTTTTGCAATTATATTTCTTTTATTTTAGGGATGAATTCAAAATTTTCATAAAATATAAGGATCATCTTGCAAATTTTGAAAAATTAATAATAAACAATTTAACATTTGCATTATATAAAGTAAATGAGCAATTTCAAATCTTTTATTTTTTGGTGTCATTTAAAATTTCTTAAATTTAACTTGAATATAATACTTTATAAGTTTAGATCATTTTAACAATTCTTTATATTTTTTTATCTAAATAATGGATTTTGGTCAAATCATTTTAAATTTTTTTTAAAAATTATTTTTCTTTATTAAAATGTTTCATCCAACCGCACTCTTTTAAAAATTTATATGTAACTTTATAATTTAATGTGAGAACAATTTATATGGAACCCAACACTATATAAATTTTATATAATGAATCTAAAATAACAATGCAACTAACTTGTAATTAATTATAATTTATTTGTATCTATCTTAAAAAAATTTGTCATATAAATTCAACAAAGTTTTACATTGGTTGTCAATTGCTCTAATACAAGAAAGTTGAATTGTGTAGCCCATCCTATTTATTAGGATAAGGTTTGGTTATTTGTGTTGTATCTTAGAAAAATTGAATTATATATATATATATATATATATATATATATATATATATATATATATATATATATATATATATATATATATATATATATATATATATATATATATATATATATATATATATATATATATATATATATGAGGTATTTGCATGGAATTGCAACCACTCATATAGAAGATATTACTATTATCGAACAATATGGTTGTCGACCACCTCCATAAGTTTTAGATTTCTAGTTGAACTAGAAGACACAATATTGTAGTACACATATAATTTATCTGTCAAATCAAAAGATTCAACTTGTAGAAGAAAACAGGAGCAACTTGATTAAAATAATTGACTTTTATGTCTGAAAAAGTATATTGGCTATAATTTGCATTTTGGACATCTTCAAATTATTAGTCCCTTTCAGCAAAGGCTCAGGATTATCTCTATAATCACATTGCATAGAATTTAAGTTCACCTTAATTTTGCACCTTAGTGATGGATGTGTAACGTGTTGTCCATATCACCAATACAACCCTCCACTCTATTCACTTTTATATGGTAAGATTTTTAGCCTGGAACTTTAAGGAGCGGAATTAAATTTCTAACTAATAGTTCAATAGTTAGTTGGTTCAAAAATTCTAAAAGATGAATCGTTTTTGCTTGACAACAAAGTACATTAAATAGAAGAAAATCAATAAGTTAGTACAATGCTGCATTGCTGAAAATAGTTCTAATTCTGTTTAAGCAACACTTCTTTAATCACTTTGTCTAAGTTCTTGTATGAACAACCTCCTGGACTAGTGTTCTCCAAAGCCTTCTTCTTCAATTCCATTGCATTTTGTCTCATCTTCTTTCCTTTCTCTCCCACCATCAATTCATTCACAAGCTTCTCCACCTCATCTCTCTTCACGTTTGTATCGATTTCTGCTCCAATCTCCCATTCATTGCAGATAAATCTACTGTTTGTTGGTTGATCAGCGAAAAATGGCCAGCACAACATTGGCACCCCAGCGCATATGCTTTCGTTGGTTGAGTTCCATCCGCAATGACTCAAGAACCCGCCAATTGAATGATGGTTCAACACTTTTTCTTGTGGACACCAACTTGCTATTAGGCCTCTATCTGAAATTTCATTCAAAAACTCAGATGACAAAACCACTGAGCCACCAATGACAATATCAGGCCTAATGATCCATAGAAATGGTTTTTTGCTATTGGCCAAACCCCAGGCAAACTCCAACAGTTGCTCTAGAGTCATAACTGTCATGCTACCGAAATTCACATAAACCACCGATCCAGATTCCTTGGGTTCAAGCCATTCAAGACACTTGGTATCTTCTTTCCAAAGATTGGAATCTAGAGATGCTAATTGATGATTAGATGGAGTTTGGTTTATTAATGAATTTAAAGGGCCAATGAGATAAAGAGATGGAAACATAGAGAAGAGAACATTTATTACATCTGTCTCAAGTTCCTCAAAAGTATTCAAAATGATAGTAGAATCTCTATGAACTTTATCTGCCATGTCAATTGAGAATTCTAACATGATATCATTTGGATTTGTCGTCCTGATAAAGTCGATACTGTCCTTCAACCGAAAGTTTTTTAAACCTGGAATCCAGTCTACTTTGGTTTCCAGGTATCCATTTGTTAGATAACTCTCATCTGCATATCATGAATATCAAAGTTAATAGTTTGAAGTTCCACACACACCTACGCGTATATAGTTGTTTATATACACTTAGTAATAGTAAATGTATATATATGCATATATTACAATCTTAAGAAAAAACTTAATTTAACAGTACCTTTGAGTGGTGTGAAACCTTTTTCTACAAAGGAACGAAAGTGCAAAACATTCAATAAAGAACACGCACTTGATGGAAAAAAGAGAACATTTGGTAGTGCAAATTCTTTAGCAGCTTGTATAGTAAAACTCATCAAACAGTCCGAAACTAAGCAAGTAACATGTGGAATATGACCAACATTTGCAGATTCATTGAGTCTAGAAAGAAGTTCACAATATGGTTTGAGAAAATTCTTTCTTATAGATTGGCTAAGAGAAGGTACATGTTGACTAACATTACCATCACCTTCCATTGGAGTTAAACCATCTGGTATAGTCTCAAAGCAAAAATCAGTGAAACCATCAAAGGCATTGGAACCTCTTGATTTGAGCAAGCGTTTGTGGTTGTATTCAGTGTTGACAAAGGTAATGTGAAAGCCTCTAAGATGAAGAAGCTTTGCTAGTTTGAATAATGGATTGATATGGCCTTGAGCTGGGTATGGAATCAACAAAGCATGTGGCTTTTTAGTGTTAGAAAAATTACTCATCTTTGTGATTTTCTGTGTATATTGTGTGTACAAGATACGAGGCTCTAAAATAAAGGATAAGGATGTGCTTTAATAGAGAGAAAAAAGGAAAATGTTAAAAATGCATAAATACTAAGAAATACAAAAAAGTAGGTTCGTATAATAGGAAATCAATACATTGATACTTAGACTTTGGTGTAAAACATTAACTTTGAGGATGTTTTTGAAATACTTGGTTTGTCGTCTGTCTTTAGTTTTGTTTTATATTTTACTTACTTGTCCTAATAACTCATATTTTTATGTGCAGAAAATATGACACAGGAAAATGTTCAAAAGAAATTGATCAAGAGAGAAATAATTGGTCACTACAATTGTTGTTGTTTCTACTATAACGGATACTTCTACTACTAGTTGCTCTTTTTTTGTTGCAGGGTCGTGGCTATCTCCGGCCAAAACTGTTGCTCTCTTTCTCAACATTTTTACCAGGGCCAATGTTTCCATTAAAATGACAAACATATTAGAATAAAGATTATAATAAAAAATAAATATTAGATAATAGAAAAAGATCAAATTACCCATACTAATATATTATATTATATTATATTATAATGTAATAGTAATATTATTATTTTAATATTTTTTTCTCAAATTCATAACGCATTAAATGGAAGCATGGAGAATTTGTCATTCAAGAAACGAAAATGTTAGATGGAATGTGTTTTCGTAAACAAATCAACAATCTTCAAAGAGGAAGAGACGAACGGGAGAGTAATTATTTTATGTTGGAGATGGTGACGAGTGAATTGACAATTAATCTCAATGTGCTTGATACATTCATGAAATACCGAGTTGTGAGCCATTTGAATGACACTTTTGTTATCACAATACATTAAAGTTGGTTTAAAAATAGTGACACCCATATCCAAAACTAACCAACGCAATTAAACTATTTCAGTAGTGCTGGATGTCATAGCACGATACTCAGCTTCTTTAGAAGAGCGGGATGCAATATATTGTTTTTTTTCAAAAAAAAAAAAGAGTTTTCAAGAAAGATACAAAAACTTGTGGTAGACTTACGATCCGTTGAATCATCAACCCAATCAGCGTCAGAATAAGAACGTAACTCCATTAAGGACGATGGGAGAAATAAAAGGCTCTAAAACTAGGTTCCTCAAAGATAACGAATAATGTAAAGAATAATTTTCCAATGTAATGTAGTGGAGAGACAACAAACAGACTAACAACATGAACATCATAAAAAATATCATGCCTAATAATCGTAAGGTACGCCAGACTGCCAACCAAAGTGCGATATTAGGTGGGATCTAGTAGAGTAACACCATCATAGAGAGCATATTTTACATTCAATTCAAGATGATTATTCGCTTCTCTAGTATTAGAAAGTCGAGCTTGTTCAAGAATGTTGACAATATACTTAGATTGAGAATCTTAAGAATGTGTGGTTGCGCCTGACTCAGCCCTACAAAACTGACTTCTAAGGTGAAGATTTTCCCCACTTATAAATACATGTTCATGCTATATCTTGTCAAATGTGGGACTCTTAACACCCTCTCTCATGCTCAGGATTTGAATTTGGCACGTAGAACTAAATGGTGGATAGATGGATCTTAAACGAGACTCTGATATCGTCTTAAGAATGTGTGGTTGGGCCTAAATCAACCTAGGGTGAGGATTTCTTCCACTTATAAACACATGTTTCGGCCATATATTGTCCGATGTGGGACTCTTAACAATAAAGAAGGTAGAATTTAGGAGAGTATGCAACTTCAATCTTCAAGAAGTAGCAACAAGTATCTACATTCTTCATCTCAAATTGTTTTGCTAATTGTAATTTCAAATAATCATTCTCATTACATCATCACATGTAGTTATCATATCATCAACATATAATGAAACTAAAATAAGACCATGAGATGTGGTTCTGACAAATAAATCTGAATCATGATCACTAGAGCGGAAACAAAGAGATGTAATAATAGTAGTAACACTACTATAAAATGCGCTTTTTACCTCGAACATGAAATGCATAATACATCGACTAAAGAAGCGAGATAACAAAGGGTGATATGAAAATTCGCCAATTATCACCTTGGTGGAATTAAAACTGAGAGGTAAAGTTATATGCACATGGATTCGAACCCCAACAACAAAAATTTTATTATTTTTAAAACTAGTGTATCTTATATCTCAGTTTATCTTGAAAACCAATGGGTAAGATATTTTTATAATTGTTACATTGTTTACCCAAAATATTACACGGTTTACAGAGAATATTAAAATAAAAAACAAATTCCCTAGAGATCTAGATAAAAATCAAATTTCCTAAGATTTAGATTTTAGATCTTCAAATTATTGAATCTTGAGGAAGATCAAATGTTGGGTGCAAGATTATTCTCTACGGATCTTGCATGCATTTCTGATGAAAAAAAGGGTAAGATAATTAAAATCAATATTCAAATATATGACTTTTGGCTCAAATAAATATTTAAGAAAACACAACTTGAACCTATATGATTTTCTACCCCTACAATCCACCATAGAGAATTTTTCCAAGCGTCTTTAGGTTTCAAGCGCTTCATGTTTCATTAGGTTAGAAATGTTAATATTCAGCATGCTTTTATAATGAATGTCTCTTACGTTTCACATGGATCACTAATGGCATATTCTTGAGTGTGGATAAACATTAAATGGACGACAAAGATTTGTTTAGGGGCGTTGAATATAAAAAAAAAAACGCTTAAATATCCTCTCGGTCATGAAGAAAACTGAGGTGGATAAGCTATTTTTTTAAATTAGATCGTTTACACAAAATATTAAAAATACATTGTAAAATGTTAGAATTCTTTATTGATATGGCAGATAGAGTTCATAAAGATTCTACTATCATTTTGAAAACTTTTTAGGAACTTGAGAGAGGTTACTGTTGCACCCCAAATTTTGACCCCTTAGATCCTCATCATGATTGTAGGATCATATTCACTTGATTAACTAACTTTAACCCATTTTCAGTTTATCTTTGTTAAGATGCAGATGAATTAGGGCTCCGTACCATCAAAATCGAGATTTCGGTGGTCTGATCAATCAATGTTTTGGATTGATTCAACTTCAAATAAGTCTACACAAGATCAAATATAGTACATTGGATCAAGAATGAGTGCAATTTGAGGTGGTCACCCGGGAATTGAGAGCAGTGCAATTTAAGGTACCCGATTAGGATTTTCGATGAGAAAAAGTCAACTGTAGTTTGACTTTTGGCTTAAAGAGTGTTTCAATGATGGGATTTTGGTCCATTAAGTTCCTATGGCTTAGTAAAGTCCATTAAAAGAGTTTCAAGTCCTCAGAATGTCCGGACCATCAACGGTCGACTCGGTAGGCATCGATTGATCGAACGGTTGACCGAAAAGTCAATTTTTCAACAATAAGGAATTTGACTTCAAGATGTGAATCAAAAATGTTCCTTATGTCATATTACACCTCCCCATAAAATTTCATGACCATTGGATCAAGGGTTAAGAAGTAATTGCAAAAATCGGGAATTAGGGTTTCGAAAGGGGCAAGACCATAACTCCTCAACCACACATCCAAATGAAGTGGTTCAAAGCTCATTGGAAAGCTCTTGAAAAATCCTAAAAAAGCCTCAAAGTGGTCCATAGTCAAAAAATGAATAGAATTGGAGTTATAGCAAAATTCATTTTTGAAGGGGAAATAACTTAGAAAAATTCTAAGTTATTTAGCACTTTTAAGTGGTTTTTCATAAACTTTGAAGGGTTTTTAAACATAGTTCCATCAAGAATTTGGAAATTCCCAAAACATCAAAGTTATAGAGCTACTTTAGGGCTTTCCAAATTATGGTAGAACTCCTCAATAGCATGTTTGAGCAGAAAGTTATGCACCATAGAAGTTGGGCCTGTTACACTTGAAATCACTTTGTCAAGAATTCTCAAATTTGGATTTTCACAACTTAAGCTACTCTCAACCCTTGGATCTTGATCCAAACTGATAATGTGAGGCATGGATAGAGAGAAAACCAGAAAAAAGGAGGGATTTGGTGAACATAGCAAGTTGTTGCAACTTGACAATATAATAATCAAATGTAAGAAGGAGAGAGAAACTTTTAAGGCTAGGACTGTTGCAGCTGGCTTACTCTACCATTACAGATCATCTCAGTCATTTCATGTCCATATCCACTTGAGATTTCTGATCTCCTTTGAACAATGGAGCTGATAGGAGAAGATCTTGCAAGATTTATTTGAAAATCTCATGAAAACTCTCTCCAAAAGTGGTAAATGACCAAGGCTGCCCTCACTCTTGTTTGGCTATAAATAGAGGCCTCTTCAATGAGTCTAGACACACCAGAGCAATCTCAAAAAACCAGAGAAAACATAGCTCTCACTCTCCTCTCATTCCTCAAGAATTTCAAAAACCTCAAAATTTCCATTTTCACCAAAAAGTTGTCTTGAGCAAAACTCTGCTCAAGACCAGTTCCATTACTTATAAACCTCTAAAAATCATCCTCACAATCCCTAAATATAGTATAGAAGGTGTCTATACCTTCAAACCTCTCAAAAATACCATTTTGCAAAAAGTCAACTTTCACACCAAGAAAGTTTGACCACCACACTCAAAACTTGCCAAATCCTTGCATAGGCCTGTTCTTGTTGTTCTAAACATCCACACACCTCACATAGGTCATATTACAACTATCCAAAGCATTGAAAACCAACTGGAAGTCACCTAACTCCAACTGTCTTAAAGTTTGGTTTTGTTGCTTCAAGAGGAAGTAAGCTTCATATCATTGCAAAGGAAGGAATATCTCTAGGTTTCTAAGCTTTTAGCTTGTTCAAGGCTGGTCAACAAGAGGTATGTGATATTCTAACTATCTATAAATCATACATTGTCCTTTTGTGGTGATTTGTGTGAAAACATACCATGGCTGCCCTATTGTGCTTCTTTGTCAAGAATCCTAGTTTTATGACCATAATGCTTATTTTGTCAAATAT